CGCCTGCGCTGCGCCGCCCCGCGCGCCCTGCACGACCGGCCGTTCCTGGACCTGGACGAGGTGCGGCTGCGCTGCGCCGACGGCGCCGCCGAGGGTCGCGGGGAGGAAGTGGAACTCGCCGGCCCGGAGCTGGAAGCCTCCTACGTCTTCTTCGGGCTGGTGCTGGCGCTCATCGGCCTCATCTTCCTAATGGTGCTCTACCTAAACCGCCGCGGCATCCAGCGCTGGATGCGCAACTTGCGCGAGGCCTGCCGGGACCAGATGGAGGGCTACCACTACCGCTACGAGCAGGACGCCGACCCGCGCCGCGCGCCCGCCCCGGCCGTCCCCGCCGGCTCCAGCGCCACCTCCCCGGGCTCGGGCCTCTGAGCTTCGCCGGGCGGGGGTTGGGAGCTGCCCCTGCCAGCTGATGACCTTATTGGGGCTGCCTGGCTGAAGCCGTGGGTATGAGACACCCGCGAGCTTGGGGCTTTGAAACCTGCCCCTGATGGGCCTGAGACCTTTGGATTACGGCACTCCCGCCCCCGGCGGCCCCAAGCTGTACCCCCTCTCCCCAGCCTCAGAGCTCTTCAGCCTCAAAAGCCCAGAGACAACCCCTTCTGATTCTAGAAACCCTAGCCGCCCATCCCGGACTCGGACACATCCCTCTTGAACCACCGAAAGACCCCTCCCCGTTTCAAGCCTCACCCAGAGACCCTGCCCTTCAACCCGATACCCCGAGACTACCTCCACCACCTGTGCTTCGAGCCCAGACCTCTCAGCGAGAAATACCACCCCAAACTTCGCTGACCCCCATCTCCAGCTTGCAGCCCTCAGCTCGCTTCCCAGGGCTCAGGGGCCCTCACGTCCCATTCTGGTCTCAGAAGCAGAGCACCCCCACCGGAAAGTGTTTATGGACTTGGAGCCTTTTTTCTCATTCTGGAGCTCTGAGCCCTCCATGCTGTGTAGAGACCCACATACACTGGCTCTGAAGGCTGGGCACCCTCCCCCAATCTGAGGAGGTATTTCATACCACCTATCACCCCAGCTCTGGCTCAGGTCCCTCCTTTCCTTGGCCCAGGCTTGGGGCTCAGCTCCCATCTGTCTCTCCCATCCCAGGGACTGGCACACCCCATTATAGCCTTAGTGTGGAGCTGACCCTTGGCCAGACCCCCCCATACTCAGTGCTTGTCCCCAGACTCTCAGCTCTTCACCCAGATCTGAGTTTCATCCCCCTGCCAGAGTCTTAGGCTCTCCATTCCCCCACACCCATCACTTGCACTCAGTACCTGCCCCTGCTGCTCACTGGGTCAGGGCTGGTGAGGACTCCATTCATGGGATGTGCCCATGCCCCTGTCCTCCTAGGATGAGCTATCCAACCTTGCAAGACAGGTGTAGGTGCACCCCAACCATCTAGCAGATCCCTATGGGGAAGGAGAGAGTACTAGGGGTGCACAGTAGATGGCCGGGCCTCAGAACCAGGGTCGCCCGTCCATTGTGGCCTCAGATGGGTTGGGGAGGGAGCTCTGAAGGGCTGGGAGCTGCTGCCCACATGCCCTTTCCCACCCACGTGACTCCTCCTCTGGGGATTCCTTGCTGCTGTGCACCCCCTTTCCCCATATGCCTTCTGGAAGAGGAAGGGGGTCTTGCCTCCTGTCTCAGGCACAAGCCCTCCTGTTCAGGGTCTAAGCCGCAGCGCCCTGCCTTCTGCATGATCCCAAAGCACAATTGGTGAGTGGGGAGGGGGCTGCCTCTCCCTGACTCCCACCCCCTAGGTCAGGCAGAACGGCTGGCCTGTGCTGCTCTGCACACAGGAAGTCACCCTCCTTCAACGTGCTGGCTTGAGGCCTGCCCTCCCAACCCCACCCAAGACATCTGGATCTCCCTTGGGCAGTTTTCTATAAAGTCTGCAATAATCTCGGATACTCTCATCGTGTAAGTGATGCCGTGTCATTCCTGCTGACCTTGGGGCATTGAAGGGGGGGCAGGAGGGGACACTTGGGAGGGCACTTTGGACCTCCCTGAGGTGAGGCGTGACCCTTGGTATCTTCCCCCAGACTATGGGAGTAGAAATGGGCTCTGACTGCACGTAGCAGGATCGAGGCTAGACACATGGAGGGACTTCCCATTGGGAAGGCATTGCTCTCCAAGCCAGTCTGCTTTTGATCCTCTGAGATAGGGTTATCTACAGCCAGGATGGGATCCTGTGCCTCCTCTACATCCTCTTCCCCGTCCTCTCCTCATCAGCGCAGTGGGGGTGGGGGTTGTGGGGGAGACGTAGTTGGACTGACAGACAGTAGCATCAGGCGAGGCCATCAGGGAGGGGATCCTCCTACAGAGGATCAGAGCAGTTAATTCAGACAGGAAAGAGGAGGGATCGTTATTTTGCTGCTTTGGCATCATCCCCTCTGATGAATTACTCGACACTCCCTTATGTCCCGCATCCCGCCACGCTCTCCTGGCCACAGGGGTAAGAACTGCATCTTGAATATGTGAGAGGCTGAGAGGAGAAGCTGCCTGGAGGCGGGGGGTGTGGATAAATGACACCTTGAGATGGTGGCGCAAGGAGACAGGTGGGTTCTGGGCCAGCAGGGCCAGGGTAAGAGGCTTAGCTCCTGCTTGAGGTCCCCAGGCTGGATTATTTTGCACTCAGTGTCTCAGAGCCCTAGAACCACATGGCAGAAGTCTAGAATTGTGGCATTTTAGAATTTTAGGGCCACATAACTCTAGAATTTGTCTTCTAAGGATTGAAAAGGAGCTTAGAGGTAATGTGGGAAGCCTCTAAGCTGTCCCAACAAGGAGCGCTCTCTCTCGACAAGGAGCTCACTCCCTCCCCTCCTGGGAGCATCCCTTTCAGGGCTAAAGGAATGTGCCTGGGACTTCCTGACGGTCCCAACTTTGCCTTGGGGCCAGGAGCGCACCCCAGCCCAGGACAGCTCTTCACAGAGTCAGAGACAGCGCAAGAGTCTCCTTATCTTCTCCCAGCAAATTCCCTACCCCTTCTGCTACTCATTCCTCATGAGAAGGGGTTAGATTCTCTTGAAGCATTCCCATCTGTCAGTGACCTTCAAAGGGTGCTCTGCCGATCCTCCAGGATGAAATAGTGATGGTCTCTCCAACACAGGTGAGAGAACTGTGTCTCTAACAGGTCACCTCCCCAGTTCCAAAGACGTGCCCTCTGGTAATGTAGCCTAAGACTGCGATAAGTCCTGGCAAATAAAACATGCTATTAGCTGTGGGTTCACTGTCAGCAAAAATCTTTGAGGGTTTTATATGAGAGCTGCTGCTAAGCTAAGTATCGAATCAATAGTTGTCAAAAATCAACGAATTCAGTGCCTAATGTATGCCAGTTGATATTAAACTTTACTGCCATTCACTGATTCCTGTTAAATGTCATCTCTGGGCTGCCACCCCTTTTGCAGCCTCTCAGTGGCCTTTGGCCTTACTGGGAGTATCAACAGGTCCCCAGGGCCCCCAGCCTTGACTCCTCTGCAAATCCAGCCATTCATTCAGCCTCTACTAAACACATGGTTACCAGTCCTAGAGAAGCTAATGACTCAGGAGAAAAACATATTTAATCAAGGTCTAGAGAAAACAAGTCCCAGGAAACCATGAGAGCTCAGGGTAAGGGCCCCTGACCCAGCCTAGGGAGACGACTTCTTAGAGGAAGTCACATTTGAACGGGGTTATGAAGGATGACTAGGAGTTTGCAGAACAGAGAAAGAGCAGAAGCATCGGCTTGTGCAAAGGCCTGGAGGCGGGAGGATCTTGTTAGCCTGAGAATTGGAGAAGACCATTAATGGCTGGGGATAGGTAGGAGGGTGTGTGTGGGTAAGACAGATCTGCATTCCCCGCATTCTCCACTGGGAGGCACTAGAGGGACCTCCGCCCTCGGAGGAGGAGTCAGGGAAGTGGAGAGGTGTGATATGTGGGCGGGAGAGCTACACCGAGCCTCTTACTTGTTTCATCCTTTTGCCGGCCCTTTTTGTGCCTCAGGCTGGGCACTGGAGACAGAGAGGAATCAGACCCGAGCTGTGCCCACGGGAGGCCAATGGGCAGGGGGATAAGGGAAGGGGACATTGTAGGAGCCCAGAAGAGACCTTGTAGGAAAAGGTGAGATAGAGGGCCCTCCCCTGACACCCTGATGCCACCCACCCTCTCCAGACCCACCCTCAGCAGTGCCAAGCCCAGCCTCCCCCGTGATCACACGCTGTGAATGCTGCTGGAAGTCGGAGGTGGGGAGAGGCCTGCAGAGGCCAAGGGCCAAGGCAAAACTCGGCCAGGATGCCTCCTTAAAGAGCAGGCACGGGAGAGAGCAGGAGAGGGAGAGAGAAGGTGTGTAACTGTCAGAAATGTGACAGACACGAATCCAGTGCCACACTTTGGGAAACGTGTCAGACTTCCTGGGGTTCTGTGACCCTGTAAAAACTGAAATTTCCTCTCAACAGCAGAGGGAAGCCATGGCCACCATCTCCTTGAGAAGCCTTTACTTCCACGCTGCCTTCCCACCCACGCCCCCAGAGCTAGAGTCTAGAAGACTGGGTTTCAGTCTGGGCTCAGCAAAATTTGCCATGTCGTTTGGTCCTTAGTCAGAAACGCCAGTTGAGACCCCACTGTGCGCTGGGTGCTGGGGCTTCAGCAGTGAGCACGGCAGAGCCCGTTCCTGCCATCCTGGGCCAGTCCAACCCGGACCTTGGGCACCCCTGCCCTGGCTGGCCCCAGGATCCTTCTGTCCAGGCTGGGGCTGCACTTGTGACCTCCAGAGGCACTGCCTGCTCTCACTGAGGTCCATCTCCTTCTTCATTAAGTCTCTGCCTGGCAGACTCTCAGCCCTAACTTATGGGCATGGCCTTCCCTGGACTGGGAGAAGTGACGGGGCAGTTAATATTCCCGTGGTAATGCGCTTGGCCGCCTTCAGAGTCCCCTCCTCCACCCCCTCACCCCTCCCTCACTGCACCCCTTCCCTCAGTGCTGCCTCAGGGCAGCTTACCCCAGGGCTGGCCAGTCCCGTGCATACCACCCCAACTAACCCTTCATTGTACTGGTGGGGAAACTGAGGCCCAGGGAGTGCAGGAGCCCATCCAGGTCACACACGGTGTCAGGAGCAGAGCAGATCCAGAGCCAGGATGCCCCCAGGGCTGTCCCTGCCCTGCTCTGGGTCTGAGTATCTGGCAGGGCTGTCCCACCTCCTAACTCTGTGTCTGCACCCCTGTGGTCATTGCCTCCTGCAGCCAGACCCCGGCCTTGGTGGCCTGCAGATGGGAAGGTGAACAAGGAAGGGGTGGCAAGGACTCTTCAGCTTCCGTGGGCAGCTTCCCACAGGCCTCAGAAACCCGCTGCAGCCTCCTGCAGGCAGAAACCCTGCTGGGGGGTCCTTCCTGATGGAAGGGGCATCTCTACCCCTCCCTACGAGGTGAAAGGGGTTTGTTCTGGAACCCCAAGCTCTGAGGTTTCCAGGCATGAAACTCATTCTTCCTGAGCCTCTGCTCTCTGCTGGGCACCTGCTGAGCTGGACCAGATCCTGCTCTATCCTCAGTAGAGATGGGGTCACTGTGATATGGAAGCACGGGGGGCCCCTAACTAA